ACACCTTTTGGTACCTAAGTAAACGGGAATATCGATAACGGCCACATAGAAACAGACATTTAAAAATGGGAAAAACGATATAAACTCGGATATAAAAGTCCATGCGTAATTTCAATTAAAAAAAACGGTTTCCTGAATATTTATCATTTCTGGATACTCATCGTTTTTCCCATGTGCTCGTCAATTGTTATATTTACTGTTACATAAAATTTAGTAAAAACTCTAAAAAATTTCTCAATAGCAGAAGTTGTATGCATGTATTTTTATTACCTGACGATAAAATTTGGACTTTCCAGGTAGGGAGTTAAAGTTAAATACAAACATCTAAAAAGCTATTAAAAAAATGCAAATATCTTAAATAATAATTTAATATGCAAACTTTGCAAAACGGTAAATACTGCAAAATCCAAAACATAATAGTAAAGTATCTACTACTACTCTAAAATATCTACTAAAATAATAAACTAATTGTTAAAAATAAATAATTTGTGCATATTTCGAGTAAAATCTTTTCTTAATTTAGATGTATATTTTTAAAACCATTTTTTCATAGTTAGGTTTCCATAATTATAATATACTTAATATGTCTAATACTTTAATTATTATATACTTAATATCCTATACTATATAAACACATACCTTCCTTCATCTTTTGGGCACCTAAAGAACGATATATTGTCTGTCATTCTACTTTCACAACCATCCACTGCACAAATATTTCTAGTAGACATTTTATTCACAATTCGAACAAAACAACTAAAACACTATTTTTGGTTCACCCTATGCGTCGGACCGAAAACAAAACTAAAATAAACTTGGAACACTGTGTACACGTCGAGCAACGGATGTAGACTGGCCCAAGTCTACAAGACAGGTGGGGAGCGGCGGGAGGAATTTTGATACGGGCGAAGGGTGGGTCAACTGATATATTTATATTCTTTAAACTGTGTTTAGAGGTTGATATGCGACGGATGGACAATTTTGTGATTGGTATTGAACTGTTTTTTTTTGGAATTTGTTGAACAGCTAGTTGCTGAATTGGATACGGCTGTCTGCCTTGACGAATAAAATAATCTGCCTGTAGTTGTTGATGGTAACTCCTCTCGTTGTTGAGGGTAAAACATTTAAAGATATGAGTGAGTTTGTAACTGAACGAGGGGAACGAGGAGTTTATCCTTGGTGCAAGAACATTTATGTAGACACAAACTTTGGTTCAAAAGAAACTCAAAATTGAATAAAAATATAAAGCATTTATTTGTATAAAGTAAGTATAAAAAAATATATTTACATATAAAGATGTATACATAAAAATGAAAATAAAATAATTAGAATAGACTGGCCTTAAGCTGAAAAATGCTGACTTAGATAAGTTACTAACGGAATCACAGATTTCTTTTCGATAAAGGGTTAGTTAGAGCCTCATAATTTGTTTCAGTTAAACACTAAAACATATAAACTAATTTTTACGATAGAGAGCATTTGTAAAAGAGCAAAAGCGATATACAGGGTGCTACAAATTCGGGGTACGAGCATTGGTATCTCGGAAACCGTAATAGATATGAAGATGCTTAAATTGGAGCAAAGTTGCCGCTTTGGGATGTTCATCAAGATTCCATCAAAAAAGTTTTAAAAATTTCAAGGATTGCTGAGTTATTTTGAAAAAACTGATTTTTTGGAAAATAAATTTTATTTTTTCCTGTCGTTATTGTTTAGAAAATGGAAAAACGAATTGCACATTCTCCTAGCCACTGTATTAGGGCTATCTGATAGTGTTCTTAGATTTTCAAACTAGCTAATCGTTTCTGAGATACTTAGGCAAACTTTTTTTTTTTAAATACACGGACCTGCATTTTTTATGTCAGTTTTTGAAAGAATTTCGTCTCCTGAGTACAATGATATGAAATACTTAATTTTTTGATTTTCTAAAAAGGAACGAGAGGAAAAAATAAAATTGATTTTCAAAAAAATCCGTTTTTTCCAAAAAACTCAGCATTCCTTGAAATTTTTAAAACTTTTTTGATGGCATCTTGGTGAACATCCCAAAGCGCAACTTTGTCCCAATTTAACCATGTTCGTATCTATTACGGTTACCGAGATACTAATGCTCGTACCTCGAATTTGTAGCACCCTGTAGAATAATATATATCTGTTATGTACACGATAATATATAATAAATATTAATACTAGAATAAAGTTGCTTTAAAATTGCCAGGAAAATGTATATATTTTAAAAGAAATTAAAGTAGCAATATGTTACTGATTTATTTCTTGGAGCTTGAGTCAAATATATGCACTTTTTCTACAGTTTAAAGTCAACTTTATGCAATTTCATTTAATGGTTTCTTGAAATTCATCCAAAAGGCACGTAGGACTGTTGTTGAACGCTTGGCAAAGGCGTCAAATCAAACCTATTTCTAGGTTTATTGTACTGGTTGAAAAATTGTTGGTAGTTATTTTGATTTTGGTTCCCTCCAATTTGATTTAGAGGCTGATATGCGACAGCTTGCCGATTTTGTGCTTGGTACTGGCCAAAATATTGTTGAGACTGCTGAACGAAGTTTTGTTGTTGCTGGTAAACTTGCTGTTGTGGAATTTGTTGAACAAATTGCTGCTGAATGGGATACAGCTGTCTTCCTTGATGAATAAACTGAACTGGCTGTAGTTGCTGGTGGTAAGTTCTTTGCTCAGCTCGTTGTTGAGGGTAAATCACTTGGGGATTAGGCTGGGGTTGTAACTGATTAAAGGGTACGTAACCTCCTTGGTTGAGGCTGTTTTGTGGCGTGGCAAAGTTAAATTGGCGAGCTTGGGGGAGTTCGTGGCGACGTTGTTGTTGGGGGGAGTGTGGGCGGAATGTGGTTGCTTCTAAGTGTCCCCCGATTCGAGGCCTTTGTACCAGAACCTCCCTCGAGTTGTCAGGGTAAACTTGAAGGCGTTTCTGGAACAACAGAGAGAGAGGTTATATTAATGGTATATACCTCGACAAAGGGAGAGCAGAAGAAGCCCCGAATTTTGGGGGACACTTTTACGTAAAGCCTTCTTTATTTTTTTTGGTTTAAAACAGCTCCGCTCATACACCGTGTTTATTTTTCTACGACCATACCTAAATACATTCTAGACATCGGCTCCATAAAAATGACATTGGTCACTTTTTCTTAGATATTTTTAGCTGCTGATATTTGCAGTTTGTATCAAAATTACTTACGTACTGAGTAAAAACTAGCAACGGAGAGAGAAATGTAGTTTCAAATCGACCTTTATCAATATCAAAATACGAACATTTCTTCGACAACAAATAACAATATTAAATCATCACTGAAAGCTACATACTAAGATATATTACATTTAGTAATCTGTCAAAGTGTAATATTAGTATATTAGTAATATTATAAATACACTACTCAAAATAATTATTGTATATTTAAAAAACAAAGTAATTATTAATTATTACATATATTTCATACCAATTAAACTTTTAGTTACGTAATCGAGGGCGCAATTTTTAAATTCATTGTTGCCAATCGTGGACATATTCGGCACCGGGCTGACTAACTGGAATTTAAATTTCTCGCTGGGGTTCAGGTGGTAGTTGTGCTGCAAAAAATGTCAAGTTGCAAAAATGTCATATTTATTTATTTATTTCCTGACATTGTCATTCGTTTTGACATTTTAGATTTGTATTACGAGTTTTTGGTTTAAATGGATTGTGTTGTGATATATTATGCTTAAAATTTTTTACTAGCAGACTTTGCAGTCGAACATTGTTCTTTTTAGAACCTCTTTTAGTGCGAAATGGTACAAGATAGCTTAATAGCCGTAAAAAACTCATCGCAACTTTATTAGAATATTTTGAACGAGAAAGCGGTAGTAATGGCTTTTTATGTCCCTCAAGTGCTGTTAAGAAGGTGAGTTTTGTTGATGTAACTCTTTGTATATTTATAATTAATTTAAGAAAATATATAAAAATGGGCAACACTGTACCGGTCAAGCTTAATCACGTGACTAAAAGTTTATTTGATATGAACTATATATTTATTTGCCTTCCACTAACTCTTTACCCGGAAAAATTTTAGTATTATAATTTTAGAAAAAAAAATATTTAAAAAGGTAATGTAGAGAATTGTGTTTTGTTTTTAAAATTAATATATTTTTTTTAAAAATATGCGGTAATTGTTTTCAGTAGTTTATTATAGTAGAAAAAAAGATCCTTTAACTTTAATTTGTGTTATGTATGGTCGTAGAAATAGATCAGTGTGCAACATTGTGCGTGTAAGAGTTTTATACATTCATGTGATTCTGTTATCTGGCAGAAGGCTCTAGGAGACCAGTCTTATACGGAAGATATATACGTATCCAGTCTTATACGTATCTATAACATTTCAGATAAAAAGATTAAATATTTAGTATCTGATAAATCAAACAAAAAATTTACAAAATATATGTATGAATTTTTCCTCATTATACTTAAGTTTCATTTAATCAAATATTTATAGATGTTGGTGAAATTAGAGCATACTATATACAGGGGGAATTTTAAATAAGGGCAAATATTTTTAGGGGTTGTTAAATTTCGACCGCAGAAACACTATGTCTATGAGGTTTTTTAATCGAAAAAAATTTTTTGGATTTTTCTTTAAGTTTTAATTAAAAAACATAATATCTTGATTTGATGACAATATACGTAGAATATAAAATTTACAGCAAGGAACGCAGAAAAAATTCACTAGGTCTCAAAATATAAGCAAATATATTTTTTATTTAATTTATAAGTAAAATAACTCGGATATTTTGGATTTATTTGAAAAATGACAAAGAGAAAATATGTTTCTTTTATCGAGAACTACCAGCCCTGAAAATATTTGTACTTATTTAAGACTCACCCTGTATAACAAAAATTCTATTAAATCATAGTTTTTAATATGGTGTAAATAAGCCAACGATAAAAGTGATAAAAGTAGACTTAATATTTTTAGTATCAGACAATAACACTACTTTCGTCTTACCTGTGGACTAACTCCAAGCATTTTTAAAGATGGCGGTATGTTCAGTCCTTGCGGGATCTGAATATGTCCGAAGTCTACTGTAAACTCTTCGCACCATATTCCAAAATGACCGATATCAAAAACAGTCAAGTCACCTGGTAGGGTGAGTACTACAGTTTTGCCATCGTACCTTCTGAGAGGTAATTCTTTGCCGTTTTCATCTGGGACTCTGATTCCTTGTGGAGATGGTTTGGGGCCACGACCTACCCAAAACTTAGCATCTGAAAAGAAATAAGTTTATTTTAAACTTTGGTTCAGTAACACAAAAGTAATTTGAAAATTAATTAAAAATACGTAGGTATATAAAATCTATATGTCTGTGTATTATTATGATATTTTCTCTACTTAGCGATACATGTGTAATTATACCGGGTGCGTCTCAAAAGTGGCTCACCCCTATTATTACCCCTTATTTTGTCGGCGAGACGAGACAAGACTTTATAGTAATAAGTAACTTCGTAAGTGTTATATTTTAATATAATTATGGATTTAATAATTAAATAATTATCTTAAGTTTAAATTGTGGTAAACTTGTATGAGTTTCAATCATTTATATTTAAAATCTTAGGGAAGACAATATAGATTTTAGGCAGGAGAACTCAAGAGAACGACTGTGTAATTAGTAATTAAGACTTTACAATTTTTTTTACTTGCCATTTTCTTGCCGTTCACGTTGCACGTTGACTCTTCGTTGTGTCACACACAATCTGAATTTCGGATATGATGCAGAACTGATAAATTGGACCAAATATATTAATTGCAGGTAATCAAAGACATATTTTTTTTTATGAAAGTCTCGTCTCGTTGGTCTCGTGGGAATCACTAATCTTAGGAATATTTCACCGATTGGAGATAAGTTTACAGACTCTGCGGTTTTATGCTCGCTATAGTGTCAGAAGGGGATTTGCTTCGCAAGGCATCAGGATATATAGTTTTTAATGAAAATCGAGCAAATTTGGAAATTAATCTGGAGTCGCGGGCTAATTTTAAATCGAGTTTTACGACAGTTACGAATAACTTTGTCGGGATTGGCGGAATTCCGGGCCGCCCTGGGCTGAATATTATTAAACTCGTAGAAAACTATTTCGCAACTAGGAGTCCAGATCCGTGTCGGTGACACGTCGGCGGTTTAGATAGTCGATCCCCCCAGGGTGAAAAGGGGAAAAGCGCATTCGAATGTTGCGGGGATTGAGTTAGGCACTTGTGCCGATAGTTGCTGCTAGTTTTAAGCCGTCGTTGCTGCAATTGGAGATGGGAAGGTGATATTTTATAACGTAATTTTCCGTATTCTTCCGTCGCCTTTTCATCTTTAGAAAAAAAATCAAACATCCCAAGTAGCAAAAAGAAGTTCTAAAAGGATTGAATTATTTTATAACAGTCGAATAGCGTTGTCTTAAGGACTGCTTGATTTTATTAAGCGTTTGGTTTCGACCATTCTGTTTTTTAATAAATGTTGTCATATTAAACTATTTTCTAGTGGTTTTTACAACGTATTTTATAACGCATTAAACAATAATTTCTTTTAGTATGATATATCATAAGACAATGCTATATGATAACAAACATATTATTTTATTAGACTCTTATACCCACCATGTATGAGTTCTATAATATTCATATAACTAGTAGTCACAAGATCATATAATAGTTACTTAAACTTGTCTTATTAAAGTTGTATTACGTTGTATGATAGAATGTTTTATTGTGTTAAACTACGGTGCTGTATACAACACTATATAGCCTTATATGATAAAATTGTGATTAACAAAATAAATTCGCTGTAATATCTGCATTATAAAACTGGTAATGTATAATATAACCTCATTTTAAATTAAATGGTATACCTAGTTATTTATTTTGTTATTGTTGTTGCAAAAGTAATATCTACGTACGAGTATAATCAATCACAGCTATTATGAATTCTGGACAAAGTTGGAAAAAAGTTAACAAACGCAGTGGTAGTTATAAAGAGCATGTAAGAAAAAACTCATCGAAATTACGGCAAATAATCCCGAGAATTCCCTGGGTTCCCAAAAGCCAAAATCTCTCGGGTTGTCTGGCTTCTTCAAAGCATTGTTGCCACGTTGATGTAAAAGTTTTACTGTAGTAATGTTTGTATTGTTTTATTGTTGTTTTTCCAAGTCCTTAGGTTGCCGCTCACTCGTCGGGCATGCATGAAATGCATTGCGTGCATAAATCCATGAAAACCTGATCATGTTTGTTAGTTTAAATACTAATCAAATGAGATTTGCCAACATCCATTTGTCACAAATCTCAATATGTCAAAAATAGTTCTATAGTGCCTGGAAATTCTGCGTAATGATAGATATTTATCTTATACCGTTTTATTTTACCACAAAGACTTATTTAAGGGATTCATTTATAATAAAATGGTTGCATTATAATTCGCCATGTTTAAGGCAGAATTTTTGTATGGCCTATGGCCGCCATTATATGAAGCAAAATTAAAAACATCAAAATAAATTGTAAAATGTTTTTTTTGAGAACTATTTTGTGATAAGATTCCCACATACAGTAATAAACTGTTTAATTAAATTAAAAACAAGAATTTTTGAAAATTTTATTTTATTTTATTGTTTAAATTTATACGTAAACCTAAATCGAAATTAAAGCGCTTTAATTTTTTGCCAAATACATACCTAATCTACCAGTAAAATTTTCGGCGCAACAAAAATTTTCCCTACTTTTCAAACCCTATTAATGATTTTTTATATTACATATTTGTTGTACCTTCTGGCTCTACCCGCCATTTTCACCGTCGAGTAAAGTCTCCTTTTTAACAATCCACATCCTCTAGATTAATTTTACGACACGCTTAAAATATAATTTGCTCCTAATATTCTTCGGTAAAAAATAAAATACGCTTTTACCTCGCTAAATGATCAAATGTTTTTATTGTTCTGTTTCTTAGATGTGACCACGTAATTACACAATAAAACTAGTTTTATAATAGTTATATAACGCTGTGTAAAATAGTTGCATAAGAGTTGTATACCCTTTTTATAGAACCTCTATACTACTAAACGGTTGTATAAAAATGGACCTTTTTTGGTTGTAAAGCTATCATATTACGGTCTTATAGCACGTTATATGAATTGAGGTATCCTATAAAAATGATCACATAGCTGTTTATACAGCCTTTATAAAATAAAATTTGCTACTTGGGATATTTTCATGTTTTTTTTAATTTACCCTAAAACGGTATGGGAATTTGGAAAAGTATTGGGGGCGGAAAAGTATAAACAGGGTGGCGCCTCTCAAACAACGCGGAGGCACAAATTACCTATAACAGATGCGAAAGAAAGTGACTGCATCGGAAACCGCTCAGCAAACCCGACACGCCTATTGAGTGGTGTAAATACACCAGTCGTTTAGTCCGGAAACCTATGCTGTGTCGTATTCGCTTGCTGGAATGACATAGTGCGTGGTTATAAGTTTCTTTTTAAATACGCGTGTAGGATTTTTGTTGAACTTTTGAACTGTTATTTCTAAGTTTTGGTAATTTGTATATCTTATTTAAAATGGGATGCAAATATGTTTATTTATAAGGAAAAAAAAGATATTTATAGTATAAAAAATTAATTTATTTAACAAAATTTAATTAAAAATGTGACAAAATAGTTACCTTTCTATTGGTTCTATCGGACTTTTTTCGACTATATAAATCTTTATTTGTAAACTTTAATACATCAAATATTTTCAATCTAATAAATCATTAAATGATGTAAATAAGAGGAAATTTCTCACATGGGTGGTCAAATTTTATAGTTTTCATTATATCAAACAGCCTCTGAGAAATGTTTTCAACTCAAAATGCCTTTAATTATGTTTGACTACATCATTAAAAAGAGTCTTCAAATACATCAATGTGATATTTGTCTAAAATTTGCAAAAGAATCCGAATCTCTGGATAACTCGAAATTATTTACCCATTTAAAAGCCTTTGATCATGAAAGTGGAAAAATTTGTTCATTTTATTTACAGGCTGGAAAATTATTTATATTAAATTTTGATGAGTTTTGCACTGAAAAAATATTCAGAGGCTGTTTGATATAATGAAAACTATAGAATTTGACCACCCATGTGAGAAATTTCCTCTTATTTACATCATTAAATTATTTATTAGATTGAAAATATTTTATGCATTAAAGTTTACAAAAAATAAAGATTTATATAGCCGAAAAAAGTCCGATAGAACCAATAGAAATGTAACTATTTTGTCACATCTTTAATTACATTTTGTTAAATAAATTAATTTTTTATACTATAAATATCATTTTTTTTCCTAATCTCCTACGAGCTGATATAATATGACGAGCAATCTATTAAATTACTGTGAGATTATACAGAAAAGTCCACAGACTTCGAGACATAGGAAAATCAAGTCCATTTAGCGTTTGTCCAAATTTTGACAAGTTTTCAAAAATGACAGTTTTGTTTAGACTGACGTTTAATTTCACCTGACTTCTCAGTGAATGATTTCTTTTTAGTGGGTATATAAAATCTAAAATTTACGGCCATGAAGAAATTCAAAACTTGGAGCAGTTAAGGCAGAAAATATTTAATGCCTTTGACACTGTCACCCCTGATATGTTATCCAATGTGAGGAGGGGATTTTATGATCGTTTGGGTTATTGTTCAATGCAAGAGGGAGGCACTTTTGAACAATTTTTGTAATTTTTTAAATTTCATTATCCTGTTTTTTTACCGTTTACTCATTACCTACCTTGACGAACATGGGAAAACGAAGGTCCTTTTCAGGACCACAAATATTTTGATTGAGAAAATTGGTTGTTAATATAATACCAATTTAAAACTGTTTTAGTAGTTTTAATACACACTATGATATAAAATTTATTATTATTATAATATACATTATTAATACTATTGTTCATTCGAAATGGCATTAAGGCCCAATTGCAACAATGATTTAAATTTTTCTTAAAGATAAGTAGAGCTTATAATGAGCTGTATTTATATTTACTTTAATATTCACCTTAAATGAGGGAATTTGACTGATACAATTTTTGAATTTGAATTGTTTTTAATGATACTAACAATTTTAGTTCAATTTTTAATAAAATTTATTTAATATTAATAGAAATCCAAGAGGTTTGAAGCCTCTTTTAGCGATTTATAACATTCTCAAATGAATTACAGGTGCCCTTATTTTCTATGAAAATCACACAGCTTTTTTCATAGTCGCTGCAGTTGCTATGCCGCAGAAAAAAGTCCGATAGAACCAATAGAAAAGTAACTATTTTGTCACATTTTTAATTAAATTTTGTTAAATAAATTAATTTTTTATACTATAAATATCTTTTTTTTCCTTATAAATAAACACATTTGCATCCCATTTTAAATAAGATATACAAATTACCAAAACTTAGAAATAACAGTTCAAAAGTTCAACAAAAATCCTACACGCGTTTTTAAAAAGAAACATATAACCACGCACTATGTCATTCCAGCAAGCGAATACGACACAGCAACTGCAGCATTGCTATAGCTATAAAAAACTAATTTTTTAAGGTGTGAAAATTGCGACACACGCTAAATGGGACTTGATTTTTCGTATGTCTCGAAATCTGTGGACCTTTGTGTATGCCTCGATAACATATTGGTGCAGATTATTTTCACCCAAACTATACATTGATACGGATTGTCTATGAACTCTTTCTGAAGGTCACAGAAACCTGAACGCATTGTTGTTCATTCGCATCTGTTCTTTCATCTTGTTCAACATGTTGTTGTTCATTCATCTTGTTCTTTCGCATCTGTTGTTAATTTGTGGCGGAGGCTTCAAGGAGAACGATAGTTTATATTGATATGAAATTTTGTGCTTGTGGAAGTTAATTCAGAGCACCTTTTCAAAATGCAGAGAGTTCTACAGGGTGTCCCCAAAAAAAGTTACACATCAAAGTTGTGTTTTTTGTAATAGAACACACTATATATTAATTGATTTTTGGATTCTAGAAGAAAAATAAAGGTGATTTTTATTAGGGAAGTACATGACTGAAATGTAAGGTTTTTGACTTATTTAACATTTTCTAAAAATGAATAACAATTTTGAAATTTTAATAAAAGCTACCTAAATTGGAATTTACCCGGTATGGCCTAGTATGTAGTTAAAATAACTATTGTACTTTAAATCAAATTAAAACCTGACCCGAAAAATTATACAGGGTGAGGCAAAATTAATGTTGAACATTGGTCACCTTTGAAAGCAAGTTACTTTTTTAGTTTAAAGGAAACACTCGGTATATTATTACGATATTCAATGGGGAATTCATGTCTCTTCAAAATATTATTAAGGTTGCCTCACCCTTCTAATAAATATTTTTTTAGATATCTTAATTTTTATGATTTAGTGTGGTAGACCTTTGTTATTTGATAAAATCTAGGTGGCTGTAATATGTCTGACATTACTTCAACATAGCTGTCTAATTAGCTCAGCTTTAGTAACAAGTTATCATCTTGTATCAGTTAAAAAAAAATCTCAGGAATTTTCCGAAAATAGAAACTTATCCTACATCAGAGAGAATTGCCATGATTCTATTAGTTGGTGAATACAGTGTGCGTTCACCAATTAATACAATACTTAAATGCTCCTGCTTTTATCTAGTCTGGGCTTTTTTATAAGAATATATTAAAGACAATGTTTAAAAAACTCGACCAACTATTGTCGACAACATGAGAGAAATGATTGTGGCTGTTTTTCGAAGTAGAGCTCCACGTATGTCTTTTAAAATGAAAAGATCTTTTGAAAAGAAACTCATTTTATGCAGTAAACAGGAAATGAAGCATTTTGAGCTTTTGATTTCATCTAGCTAATTCTTGTTACTTAATTATAGATTTATATCTAGTTTTAATTCTGTGATAATTAAAATATGTTTTAAACGTGTATCTTTTTATTACAGTATTTTACCCTACATCCTTTAATTTTTGTTAATAAACACAGAACGCAAAATCACAGGACGATAAAAAAAATAAAATGTGCATCTGATTCACGGAAAATATACCGGGTGTTCCATTTAAATTAAACAAGTTATTGCCGTTTAAATCTAGTAATTATTTAATATAAATTTTTGGACACTCTGTATAAGGTAGTATCATTTTTATTATGGCAACACAATATCTGATCAATAAATAATCTTCAGTAAATATTTAGTATTAAAAATTTGATACTCTTGGAGAAATGAAGCCTAAAATTTTTTACTGCATTTTTACATAATTGAAAATATTTCAAAAATGGTAAAGTTTAAGTGTGATAAACCTTAATGAAACTTACTTTTATTTCAATCGTAGAATCTCAAAATGCAATAATATACAGGGTTTTCCATTTGAAAAAATAAAACTATAATATTTTTTACTTGTACACTCTATATCTTGTAAAAATATTTTTAAATTGTAGCTCTAATAGTCCTTCAACGAACCTAAAACTTACAATATGTAAAAATCTAATCGTTTAGCTACAATACTCCGTGTCGTATGTGGTGAACAACCCTGTATATTAAAAAACAAAACATTATCCACAGTATCTCAAAACCAAAGTATATAATCAATGTGTACTCCTTGTACTTGCTTACCGATCCCAGACTGGACACTAACAAAATCAAACATGGATAAGATAACAGAAGCTCAAAGATCCATGAAAAGACAAATGCTACATGTAAGGCTGGCACATAGAAAAATGAATGAGTGGATCAGAGGTAAAACAAAAGTAAGGGATGTTAGAAGTGAAGTAGCAAAATTGAAATGGAAGTTTGCCGGTCACAATATCAGACAGAAGGACGACCGATGAAACAAATGCATCGTAAACTGGAGGCCCTGGAATAATAGAAGAAGTAGAAAATGGTTAATCCCTTTAATACTTTTCCAAATTTCCATATCTTCTTGGAGAAAATTAAAAAAAAAACATGAAAATACGTTTGAATTTTTTCCTGCCTGTCCCCACAGATGTACCCTGGAAGACCTATGAAACTTTGCTACGGCTCTGGCGAAACGGGAAGCATTGGATATAGCCCATTACTGGGCTAACAAACTGTAATCCGAATACGAAAAAGTAAAGTAAAGTAAGCTATTCCCGAATAGCGCTTACTGCTAGTGGGCCTTAGAAAGGTTGGCCTTAAGAAAGATTTTTAAATGGTGTAGTCTAAAATTCGAGAAAAGTATTTTTTTTAGAAATAGATTTTTGTGTGTCTGGAGACCATTTACTGAAATCACAAAGAGCATACTGGAATCACAAAGGTTGTGTCAGAACAGAAAAAGGAAATACAAGATACGTAGACATACAAAGAGGTGTTAGACAGGGATGCATATTGTCACCATTATTGTTTAACGTTTATGCCGAATATATAATCCGAAAATCTCTTCAAAATTGTCCAGAAGGGGCTAAAATAAATGGCAAAATTATAAACAATATAAGATATGCAGACGACACCGTGGTATTAGCAGAATCCGAAGACCAGCTGCAAACCCTAATGGACAAACTGACAGAAGAAAGTATCAGGATGAGTCTAGAGATTAACACCGCCAAGACAAAAACTATGATTTTCGACAGACATCCGCAAGACAATGAAAATACCGACATAATGGTAAACGGCGTCCATCTAGAAACCACGCGGAGTTATATTTACTTGGGCAGGGAATTAAACAGCCAGCTAGACCACTCTAAAGAAATCAGAAGAAGAATAGAAATAGCTAGGGCTGGTTTCCTCAACATGCGGAAGTTTGTGTGCCATCCCAGAATAGATATACCAACGAGGCTAAGAACATTAAAATGTTATATATGGCCCCTACTTCAATACGTATGCGAAACATGGACGCTAGAACAAGAAGACATCAAACGCCTTAATGCTTTTGAAATGTGGATGTATCGTCGGATGCTGAGGATAAGTTGAATCTCCAGAACAACAAATTGTGAAGTTTTAGAGAGAATGAAAACTCGTCCACACCTAACAGGCACAATTAAAATCAAAAAGACTTCCTACCTTGGACATATAATGCGGCACTCAGAATATGAAGAAATACAGCTCATAATAGAAGGAAAAATCGATGGAAAACGTAGCATAGGGAGGAAAAAGAAATCATGGCTACGTAACATAAGAGATTGGACCCACACCGACGGAAACACTCTTATTCACCAAGCTCTGGACAGAGAGTCATACGCCATATTAATCGCCAACCTCAACAGAGAAGGCACCTAGGAGGAGGAGTAGGAGGAGACCATTTATACTTTGTTAGTCTCCATATTTAGAATCAGTGTTAATTTTTGGTAAATTTTATATCAATTTTTTGTAAATGACGTCTAGAGATTAAACGAAAGAAAATTAGCATCGATTGTCATTGCTCAGCTATTTTTTATCATACGGTATTGAGAGTAGTTAATAAAAATGTCGTCGTACGTCTATGAACTCACCTGGGGCTTCTCCATCGTAATGTAAGTTTGGAATTAGCAAAGTTTGAGCGTCGACGATGACGACGTTGTCAGAGGATATTGCGTGCACGCCTTTGAGGCTGTCGATCTTCTGCGGCCTGGGAAAGTCGAAGTTTCTCGGTATTTTTACGTCCCCGAAGTTAACCTGAGAAGGAGAATAAAATGAAAAATGTTATTGAAATTCCATGTTATTTCTTTTAGTTAAAAAGATTTGTTTAAAAGAGTTCTCATGTTACAGAGATAAGTAAATCTAAAAGTTTTCAAAAAATATATTTAAAAAGCTAAAATATATTTTCAATCCTAATTTATGTCATATACTAACATACCAAATCTCGTTTTTTTTATCTGAGAAAATAAAAAAAAGTTATAGGGATGAGCCACTTTTGAGACATACCCACTATACTCAATAAGCATTACAACAGTGTAAAAAGTTCATTAATAAAACCTACGAAGCAAACTTTCCTGGTCATGTTTAAAAAGAATCATAATTGTTTGCTATTTTAATATTCTTTTGGTAAATATGATATTTTTTTTTCAAACGCCACAAAAGTATTAATTTTTGCGACGTGATTGACAATATAGAAAATGCATTTTACCGCCTAGGCATAAAAGTAAAGCACTTTTACGCCTAAGCCATAGACAAGCCTAAGCACAAAAGTATGAAAATATATTATTAAACTGACATTAAGTGTCAAATTCAACGAGCGTAACCATAGTTTCTCGATATATAATTACTTACAAGGTAGGTATTACTTTTAAATATTTTTATATTATTTGATAGGTTTCAAATTGTTTAAAAAAATATTTCTGGCGTTTGAGACAAAATAGCATGTTCTATCCGGAGTAAAAATTACTTTTTGTGCCTCCCCTGTATGTCAAACGCACAGCTTCGCCACAAAAAGTATCATTTTTACTCCTAATAAAACAATATACTATTATGTAAAATTTATTAAATTCACGAAACTTATATCCACATTTTTGAAAATTATATACTAACAACATCCAAAAATTCGGAAAAAAGTGAGGTTTATTAATAAAAAATAATCCAATTTTAACTCCACAAACAATATTTTACAATTTCCAGGATTTTCTAGAAAATTATTTATTAGATAACATTATTAAGTCGAATAATATCCAAATTTTTCGTAAAAGCCCTTTTATCCATTCTAAAAACATTTACCTATGACAAGAACATTTTCATTAAAATTTACATTTAATAAATAAGAATCTTCAATTACACATGTCTGTTCTAGGTTCGTAACATCCCATCGTAGCACACTTCAAAATAACAACCATTTTGCCAGCGGTGAAAAAGTATCCGGGCAAGAGACTTGTCAAGAAATATTTCGATTTTCTTTATGGTATTTTTTGCGGAAATACTTGCGCTGAGTGATTTATTTTTGTAATAAAATCTTCCTCGGAGTCTTTTTTGGATATTAAAGGGGTAAGTTTTTCGAAATCTTTATTTATTTAAGTTAATTTAGTCAATTTATTTGTCCAATTTTTAACAATTAATACGGTGAAGGGTCATTGCATGGTACAAAGAATACAAGGTATGATATTGCGCAGGTTGGTCGCTACGTCACAGGTGATAACAGGCGCTATTGGTCAGCACGCTCCGCGCGCCAGTTCAAATCGTCAAGATATTGTTATAAACCTGTTTCTTTGTTTATATACCGTCATTGAATTATCGCTAAGCAAGTTACTGTGGAGCAGTGCGTAAGGAGTCGGGCTAGGAAGCGAGAGACCGGAGTTCGAATCTCGGCCGGGACATAACTTTTTATTTATTTTTTTAAATACTGTTGTATTCTACATATAGTTTATTTTTATAGTATAAAAAAAAGAACTATTTATTCTGTTATTTTTTAATCTTCGGTATTAATATAAATTGATTGTTGGTACAATACCTCATTTAATATAAAATAATATTCTACTTTTTGAAATGTATCGGGCCCTAATTGTACCTAAAAGTAATATATTTTTAGTGATATACCATATTGTAAACTATTTAATATTTCAGTCAGTTAAAAAGTTAATTCGCATTGAATAATTGCCTACCATTAAAGGAAATTTGAGCTATATAATACTTGATGGGCATTTTCTGGGTATGCAAATACTTCCTCTAAATTTTGGGTTTCGTTCAACCGATTTATTCTCAAAACCTGAAACATCTACATATAAAAAGAAGCACAGGTCACTAATTATAATAAACTCTTCACCCTTGGAATTACTTCCACTAATTATAATAAACTTCACCCTTGGAATTACTTCTATCACAATTACAATACATTCATTTGCATTGGCATTTTCTACTTTTCGATGGGAAACTTCAACTTCCCAACATTTTTTAAATGATGTAACAATTCCTCTTGTGGTTACTTTTCCATAGATATCCTCATCTCTGTCCTTATGTGAATTCAGAGGCAATGAACATGAAAATTATTTACCATAAACATCGCAAACTAAAAACCTAATAAACAATTTTATACCGAATATAGAAATAAATTTAGTATTCTTACCTATTATCGACCAAATCCATGTTAATAGGTAATTATTATTTTTAAATATATTTTTGGAACTGCTGGTTTTAGTAATTATTAAATTAAATGAACTAAAAAGTCTTAAAAATAAACAATTCTTAACCATAACCCCAAAAATGCAGATCTCCTGTCAACTTTCTTTATTTTTTATTTATTCATTTTCATAGTGACGTCACAGGTGGTATGCGCGAACTGAACGAAATTGGAGCCGCTATCGATCATACCTTGTATTCTTTGTACCATGGGGTCATTGTATATTTGTTTCGCGTCGTTAGGCGAGCGTCAGGTTTTTTCATGGCAACGCGATGGAATTACTGCGCGCAGCGGAGACCATCGATTGAAAATATCGATACGGTGGATGACGCGATGCCGCCTAGCAATGCCGTTTGAGCGAAATTGCACGGATTTTTTTCGATGTTCGCTAAAAAATTATCGATTTCTATTAAAACACCACATTTTATGTAATTTCCAGGTTAATTTATGTTATGTTTTGCATTGTATGAGACTTATTGTGCGTGGTTATATAGGAGAAAATGGTATCTGAGCTTTAGGATGGAGCTTTTCTTGTAAAAAATACAGGTAATAAACAATATTTTTTGCATTTTGAGTAAATAGAGACTTAATTATTGTGAGTTTTATTTATTTTTTCACTGTAAAAGACTGAATATTACTTTAATTGTTTCTTTTCTATTATTTAGGTTAGTGAAGTTTAATTATGTTATGAAGGGTTGAATCCTGAGAAGAGTAATAAGGTAAGCTCACTCAATTTAATTTTGCTATTATAGCATCATAAACATATAATAATAATAGCGGGTAATAACATATTATTTCGATGTATATTTTTTGGTTTAATATAAATTTGCCCCGTGCCCCTATTGCTAAATAATTATTATCTACCTACTATCAATTATCCTTGGCCAAGGTAGGTAATTTTATTCTGTTAAAAAACTGTATGCTAGATTTCTTATTAGAGATTTCCATTCTATTTTAAAAATGTTTTCACAGATATACAGGGCGATTCAAATATATTATGACTTATGACATTAAAGTTGTCTTTAAATGGAATTTTGTTTAATGTTTTCGTTTAGTGAATTTGTCCTAAAATTTTCATTTCAGGAATATCATAATATCTTAGTATATACTGAGTGGTTTATAAAATATGACCATTTTTAGATTAAATTTTCTGCAGTTTTTTTTAAATTAAAGTTGTTTTTAAATGGAATTTTGTCTAGCATTTTCGGTTAGTGAATTTGTTATAAAATTTTTATTTCAGGAATATCATATCTAAATATATACCGAGTGGTTTATGAAATATGACCATTTTTAGATTAAATTTTCTGCAGTTTTTTTTTAAATTAAAGTTCTTTTTAAATAGAATTTTGTCTAACATTTTCGTTTAGTGAATTTGTTATAAAATTTTCATTTCAGGAATATCATAATATCTTAATATATACTGAGTGGTTTATGAAATATGGTCATTTTTAGATTGCATTTTCTGCAGTTTTAAATTAAAGTTGTTTTTAAAAGGAATTTTGTCTAACATTTTCGTTTAGTGAATTTTTTATAAAATTTTCATTTCAGGAATATCTTAATATATACGGAGTGGTTTATGAAATATGACCATTTTTAGATTAAATTTTCTGCAGTTTTAAATTAAAGTTGTTTTTAAATGGAATTTTGTCTACCATTTTCGTTTAGTGAATTTATTATAAAATTTTCATTTCTGGAATATCATAATATCTTAATATATACTGAGTGTATGAATATGACCATTTTTAGATTAAATTTTCTGCAGTTTTAAAGCTCTAACAGTTAAGAAATCGTAAATTATTGACGAGTGAAACTTTTTTACGCGCGCTGTGAGTAAAAACTCAAGCCCATGACACATGAACTAGCGTCACGACACGCGTCACGAAAAGTGGTAACGATTCAAAAAGTGGTAAGCCAATGAGGAAGTTGAGAAGGGTTTTTGGAGCATCGCACAGAGGTTATTTTCGCAGAATTAGGGTTGATTCTCACTATACCTTCCGTATCAGCTACCTTCCGTTTCCCTTCGGTTTACATAAAATATTATATGATGTAAATGAATAGGACAATGCACACCACCATTCTGTTTCCCTTCCGTTCCATATCCTTTCCTTCCGTATATTTTTTTGGCGGACGGACTGAAGCGTATCGGAAACAGCGATGTGAAGCTCTTAATTTATTGTACCAGCGTTGTTAACATTTTGCTGATATTTATTTATTCTTTCACCTCTTAATTAAATCTATTACCTTTTTCAAAAGATACAAATTTTTAAAATAAAACTTTCGTAATGATATAAATTCTACAATAAAATGTATGGAACGGATACGGAACGGAAGCGTGAATACAATCAAAAATACGGAACGGATATGGAATGGAAACGGAAGGTATAGTAGGATTAAGGAGGGCGCGCACTGAATGGGTATCGGCGCGAGCGAGCGGCACGTAATTTTCAGTTTACGTTGAAATAAATGTAAGCCCGCGCACCGCATTAGATCGGTGCGCTTCGAGCTATCGGCGCCATTCGAGCTATCGCACAGTGCTTCGAACATATGGCTCTAGAGGACAAAAATCCAAAACTTCTCTTTTATTGTAAGCAATTTATTCAAACTAGGTTTATTTGACACAAATGATGAGTACTCTCATTGTACTAAATGATGATGTTCTTAGTCCCACGTTTATGAAAAAAAAATCTTATAAATAATAATAATGTTGGAGCTGTGTTCCATCTAAGCAAATAATAAGTTATAGTATGAAAACGGTGTAAGTATTAAATAAATTCCTATGATAAAAAAGAATTGAAATAACATTAGAACATGATTCCTACAATATAAGCTTAATATAAGATAAAAATGTTTTTCTTTAATGAAAAAGAAACATTAATGTTATATTTAATTAAAAAAAAACTTAAGATACTATAAATTTACTTTAGGACAACAAAATGCATAGATCGTAAGTACTCTGACTTAGGAGAATCACTGCTGACAGAATCTTCCAAATTTATAGTATCCAAATCACAGGTAGATGAAGTATCCTCACATATAAGATATTTCTGTACATCTTTTTCTAATATGTTACTTTTTCGCGTTGTTAATGTTCATTTTGTCGGTATGAGGGGTTCGGATGTTAATAGTTACCTCTTTAATAGACCATATCCATATATTATTTTTTCCTTTTCTTGGGTATGAGATTTTATAATAAATTGAAAGATGGTAACTTTTTTTATGCGACGTTTCGCTCCAACATAGTGGACTTTTTCAGGCACAAGTGGTGTCTCATTTGACTGGAAGGTTCATCAATATCTAATAAGAACATATTTCTTGAAATACAAATAATTTTGAATTCTTGTCCTTATGATCAAGCCAAGTATTAGCCAGATCGGCATTGCTTATCAATTTTACTCCATCTGAAAAGTATTATAAAATAAAGTTCGTCGCAAGCAGACGCAGGTGAACTATACAAAAATTAAATGTGTATGAATATGGCAACAAAAATATTCAATAAATACGATATGTTTTGATATGTTTTTTTTAAATGCCTTTTTGAAGTTTGAAAACGTAAAATTTTTATACCCATTTAAGAATCATCTTAAAAAATAAATAAAAACTAAACAATCACGAACTTGTTTAGACATAAATTTAAAGTACATACCTTGTTTAACAATATCCATAGTGGCTTTCAATTAAGTACGTACCCGTTTAACTCCATAATATACAGAACTACTATGAATGTTATTCTTTTCACTGATGAGATAATGATCGCAAAATTTATTTTTAGTGAAAATATTTGCTAACAAAAACGCTGTTTATGAAAAATAATATACAGAATGGTTGAACATTGCTATAAGTATAAAATTATATATTCAGATATTAGTAAATT